GAGAATGTGTGAAACATCAGTCAGCAGACACTCATAAGCCAAGAGGAAAACTTGGCCCTGCAATTAAAAGATAGGCAAGTGAATAAATAATTCTGTGATTTAGGATAAGTGTAAATATGTTTATGTTTGGTTTTCATTGATTCTTCTCTTTATTTTGCAATTTATTCACCCATTACTGCTCCCTGTCCTTTCAAAGGAGACTTCTGTGTACTTGCCTCAGGGTCATGATAGAATAAAAGAGGACAGTAAACACAGGTGCAAGTCTTCAAATGAATTGAATGACAATGTTCAAATTGTGAAAGGTGACTCCTAGCACAATAGCATTATGCAAAAACAGGCTTTTGGGTTGAGGATAGGTGAAAGGAATATATTCTTAACATTGTTTTTCTGCAAAGCTTTAGTTTCTATAAACCAGAAGCAGCATAACATAGAATAAAGAATACAGACTTTGAAATGTTTCGATATAGCTTCAACACCTTAACTAATTGTTCTTGGTAAAGTCTCTTGAGTCTCAGTTTCCTCAAATTAAGATAGCATATTAATATCCATATCAAGTAGTTGTTAGGGAATATACAATGTTGGGTACACAGTAAATTATGAAAAGATTGTTCACTTTTCTCCTTTTCATGGGACTATTCAAAAGTAAAAGATGTTAATTAAGAAAATAGATAGGCCATGAAACATTTACTACCTGTATTTTGACTCTAAGAACTATTCTTGACACATTGGAAGCAAATTTGTAGGTTGAGACAAATAATGTCAAGAGTCTCTGGTATTTTGAATTTTTTTTCTTTTATTGATGCACTATAGTTGTACATAGTAGTTGGGTTCATTTTGACATAACTATATTTGCATGGAATTTAATTTACTCCATTGGTCCCTAATGCCCACCCCCTTTGCCCTCCTTCTTACCCATATTTCCATTCTACTTTACTGGTCTACTTTCCATTTATTTATTTATTTTAAATTGGTAATATGTACACACATACACACACACACACACACACACACACATAAAGGTAGAATTCACTGTAATATATTTATGTGTGCACATAGAGTAATTTTGTCAAATTTATTCTGCACTTTTTTTGTCCCTTCTACACTGCTGATATTCCTTCTGCCTTTGAAAAACTTTGAATTTGGCCAAAAGTAGGAAGAGTTGGCTATCAATGGAAATACTTAATTGTAACAATTTTTTTTTTGTACAACATTGTCCATCTTCCTCTACAAATGACAGGCTCAATCCAATCTAATTTTGAGATTTGTTAATTTACCATTCCATGCCATAAAAATAATTTTCATTTTCAATAAACAGAATCTGAAAGACTTATTATTCTTAATCCACTAAATGTAACTCTTTTGTTTTCAGATGTTTAAGAGAATTGATAATAAGTGTATTCTTTATTCTGAAGTCTATTCAGGGTGGGAATGGTAACAAAGTTTTTGAACACTATCTATAGCCTATCATAAGTAAAAAGTATACTCAAGGCACTAAAAGATATATTTTGCCCTTAGAATGCTTTAAAGGCTAATGAAAAGAGAAAATATTAGTAAATGGAATGATGAAATGAATGATAAGAATTTTGGCACAGATGCATGTAATTTGGGAACTAAAAAGGAGAAGAAACTGGAAAAGTCAAAAATAGAAGCATCAAGAAGAACTCTTGATAATTTTAAATTTTCAAGATAACTTTGATAAATTATACCTGGATGATAAGGCCAAAACTGTACTTAAATGCAAGAATTGTCTATGTTGTATATATCCTAATCCTGTGTTTTTTTAAAAAAATGTGTGTAACACAATATTACCTTTTTAACAAATGACTGCTTGTTTTCTTGATATTACGAAAACTTCCTTAGGAAGTTCTAGATAGTACAATGCAATTGTATTTGTATTTAAAAAGTATTTGTTAGATCTTATTATATGTTAGGCCCCACCCTAGTCTCATATTTATATTAATTCACTCATACTTAGTTAACAAGTATTCATTTTCAAGCTGGCAAAAGCAAATCAAGTGATTTTTTTCAGCTGATGTTTAAAATGTACCATATTGTTATGGTTTAGTTAGGCTTTAAATTTTAGCTTAAGATTTTCGTGAGTCATTCAGCTACTCATCAAATTGATTATATAGAACTAAATTTTATATATGAGTTTAAGCTTTAAAACTAAGACTGAGCTTTGCTGCTAGTTGTGATTATAGGGTTAAAAATTTTTACATTTTTGTACCTCCACAAGAAAACTTTTAGCAAAGTATCTTGAGATTGTTTACTTACTAACCATGCCACATTCCCATTAGTTAACATCACTGGTATTTACAAAGTACCTGCTGGTTCTAAAAACATATAAATAGGAAATAGATTAATTTACAGAATACCATAAGAACCATACCAAATCTAAAATTAAAGCCTTTTGAAGATTTATAGAATGTAATTGTACTGACAAATTGAAGCTATTTGGAACCAACCAGTCCCCATCTTCAGCTACCTTACCCTGCCGAGTGCCAGAGACACTTAAAATGGTATTTATAGTTTAGACATTTTCAGATTGGTTTCTAAAGGGTCCTAAATTTGTAGGATCCTTGGAGATTGGAACACCCAATCTCAAACTTTTTCCCCCCTTTCAGTCAAAGCATCTCTGATTTTATTTGTGTGGGGTGGGACAGGGAGGTGGGGAGTTCTAACTAATCTGTAACCAGTTTGGAAAAAATCGCTGCTCAATGTGAAAGATCCTGAGCTTATTTCTCTACACAAATGCCTCCAAAGTCAAGGTTTTTATGATAATAGCCTCTGTGGGGAAGTAGAGACTGAGGGATACTGAGGCAATATATTTATTGTGGTCAGTGGCCCCCAAATCCTTTTGTAGAAATTGTGCCTGCTTCCAGCTTCACAACTTGGAAGAATTTGGAGAGAAGTCAGAGGACAATTACAAAGACAGTTACAGAGATCTCTGACCTCTTGAGAAAACTAAAATAATTTCATTGAAAAAAAGAAGTCTGAGGCAACTAAATAATAGTCTTCCAGACAATAAGAATCATTACACTGAGGTTAATAATCAGATTTCCTTCATGTGCAGACATAGTTTTTAAAAGGGATGTATACAGAAGGGGAAGAAAAAACATTTTAATGAATAATGGCTGAATACTTACCAATTTGAGGACATTATTATACACAATCAAGAAGCCTAATGAACAAAGAGATCCACATGGAGACACAATTCAGTCAAATTATTGAAACTCAAAGAATTTAGTAACAAAAGACAAGTTACTCTCATCACAAAGGCTCCACCATAAGATTAACAACTGATTGCTCTTCAGAAACCATAGATGCTAAAGGGTAGTAGGATGACATAAGTCCTGAAAGAAAAAGACACCAAAAATGACAAAACCATCTTTCAAGTATGAAGGACAAATTATTAGTAAAAGCTGAGGGAGCTCATCACCAGCAGTCCTACTCTATAAGAAATATCAAAGGGAGTTAGTTCTTCACTCTGAGCTGCAAAGACAGTAGGCAGTGAATTGAAGCCATTAGGAAAAATTTAAAACACTGGTAAAGGCAACTATATAGGTAAATGTAAAATCCAATATTATTTGTAATTTTGGTTTGGCTTTTAACTTAGCTCTTTCCTGTATAATTTAGTAGGCAAATGTGTAAAATAATGATTCTAAGTTTGTAAATGGGAATACAATACACAAAGGTATATTCTGTGACAATAACTGTGTGAAAGGGGAAGGAAAGGGGGAAAAAGGACGTGTGCAGCTTTAGCAGAAAGAATGAAGTGTAGAACAACAAGAAAAAGCAGCAAATGCTGAGCCCAGTTAATCAAAGGAATACATCATTCAGGGTTCTCTTTATGAAGGTTTTTTTGAAGGCAGTATGAATTTCTATCTATGTTTTATATATTAAACTACTACCTGTAGGAACAGGGATGAATTAAATGAACTTGTTCTTTTTAACCTTGTGAATCAATGATTTATCTTTAAGTTTTATCATAAGATAAAGATTTCAAGCACTTATTTTGAATTATAGCCTCATAGCCTCATGCTGCCAGGAGAGGAGCTACTTTCTAATAATGTTAAGGAAGTTAGTAGAAAAGAAGAACATCTATTCCAGGGGTCATGTACTCAAATACCTACAGGGACCCACAGATGTTATAAAAGAGTGAAGCTAACAGCAGAATGATGTGGAGTTTGGGAAGTCTAGTGTATTAAAAAGTGAGTGACTGCCTAAAAGGGGCAATGACTGCAATCTTTGGCCAGTTGTTATTGTGTCACAATGTGTCTAAATTGACAGATCTTTGACTTTCTCAAAAAAAAAAAAAAAAACACAACTGGAAATGTAGAATTTTACATGAAAAAAAAATTCATATTGACCAAATACTCAGTTTTATTAAAGTAGTGTGAAAGCAGAACTATATGCATATGCACTCTGTGAGTTGAAAACTTCAGTTTATCCTTTAGTTCATTAGTTAACCACCACAGTAATTAACAAACAAAATAGAACTGATTCAGTTCCAAAGGTTAGAAGAGTTAATCTACTTAACAATTATATGGTTTAATTAAAGTTCCTTCAAACTCTGAATCTTCAATCTCTGTTTCCTTCCTATACTGGGTAACTTGCTCCCAATATTGGGTGACTTATTCACATAGGAGGGTGGGTATTTGAAGGAATTACTTACTTCCCCTAGCTATGTAATTTTATTTAGTAAAATCATCACATGCTCAGATCAAAAATCAGTTCATCCTGTTGCTATACTAGAGAGGCTATTGATTCTATCAGATATTTAGAAATGCACATGTATGTGGCATAGACTTGTTCCTTTGGATCTTTGAACTAACATTTGTGTATAACATTGGCTGCATGAGGCATGCTCAATTTAAAAATTGACTTACACACTTTTACCATTTGGTGACATCTTTTATGTCTCTTATAAAATGTTTTCCAATAACCCTCCTCCACCTGGAGTAAGGACAGCTGGATTTCTGAAATCCCCTTACTTTCAGACAGGAGAATATGCCACAGATGAAGAAGAGGATGAGGTAGGGCCTGTTCTTCCTGGTGGTGACATGGCCATTGAAGTCTTTGAGCTGCCTGAGAATGAGGACATGTTTTCTCCATCAGACCTGGACACAAGCAAGCTCAGTCACAAGTTTAAAGAGGTAAGCCACTCATCTGCAAACTATTTATATCTGTCTATTTCATTAGTTAGTGTATGTTTTTGTTCAAATAAAATATTAAGAATAATCAATTTCCCAATGAAACTTTTTAATAGAAGATTATCTTAAGTCTCAAATTTCAAAGTAAAATTTAAGTAGATCTCATTTCATTATCACTGATTTAAATGCTTGATATTTGTCATAGTGGCAGCTTGCAATGTATCTAGCCCATAATTTCAAACTAGAGTGTGCATATATATTCTAGCTGTGTGGTTTTTTTTTTTTTTTCAGTTGTACAGATTTTTTTTCCCCCCAGTGATGAGCTTTCCTCTAAGGCAGTGCTTCTAAAAAGGCTCTTTTTTTTCTTTCTTTTCCTAAAATAGAGTCCTAATAGGAATCAGATGGCATACCCAAAGGGTTTAATTGAAGAGTTTAATGAACAGACTTTGAACAGAGTTGATAGAACTAACAAGGGATGGTGACATGCATAGGGACTGGCAACAGCAGGAAGCTGTCACCATGTTTTGGCTTAATGGATAAAGAGAAGGAAAGAGATTCTCTTTTTGAAAGAGGGCCATTGAACACCTGCAGCTTTTTAAGATGCAGCCACTACTAAAAACTGCATTCTCTGGGCAAGGGTGATATATACCCATTTCCCAATGCTGTTCTCTTCCTGGTGGGGAGCATCCCCACACCCTCACACAGTCACCTCCAGCAGTGGGAACTTGGGTAATACAAAGTCTGCGGAACTCAGCTTCTGAGGAAAGGAGTGGTCAGAGAAGGGCCAGGAAAAGATCCTGAGTGGGCATATATGTATGTGATCACATAAACTCTTTTTTAAAATTAACTACTCAGAACCCCTGCAGGTAAAGTAGAAACTGTGATGAATAGGGCCTCAAGCAACTGATCTTTCATTGTTTGGGGGGAGCATCCTTCATTGTTGAAAATGAAGGTACCATTATTTATCACCTCTTCCTTTCTTTTTTTTTTCTTTTTTCTTGTGGTGTTGAGGGTTGAACTCAGGGCCTCATGGATGTTAGCAAATGCTTTACCACTGAACCATATTCCCAGCTCACCTCCTCATTTCTTATAAAGACCTTCTGTATTAACTGATATCTTCAAGTCAAAGAGCAATGGAGAAAAAGAAAAGTTCATAGGTAGTGGCTGAGTGAAGAATTATTATCTAGATGCTTTTTTTTTCTTATATGTTCTAAGAATATAAGTTATCTAATGGAGTTTATAGAACATGTGTTCTTTAAGAAATCTCCCCTGAGCATCAATCCAATTTTGACAAGTATTGAGGCAGTGAGATATGGTAGTGTGCGCTGGTAAAAAGCCTTTAATAGGGCTCTTTCATAATGTTGGGTGAGTCTGACCCTTAGTCACTAGTAGACAATGGAGTTGAAGAATGTTTCGTATTCTTATATAGGAGCTACAGGGCCTAAAAATCAGAGATAGGACATGGAAAATTATACTCTGCATTTTCTGAATTGAGCCAAGGAATCGATGCTCCAAAAATATTGTATGCACCATTATATGGACAACTGTCTCATCTAGACCAGATTAGAGGTTAGCAAATGTAACATTTGCCAAATCTGGTTTATTGCCTGTTTTTGTTTTTGTATTTGTTTTTTCTTTTTTTGTAGATATAGTTTCATTTGAACACAATCATGCCCATTTCTTTAATATATGTTTGTGGCCAATTTCATGCTTCAACAGTCAAGTTGAATTGTTGCAGACTCTGTGTCCTATAAGTCCTAAATTATTTGCTCTCTGCCCCTCAACAGAAAATTTTGATGGCCTTGGTGTAGACAGCTTCATGATCAGGATCCATTCTGTATATTATGTCTGATTTATTTCTAGTCTGCTTAGCCAAACTTATAGTTTGCCATTAATTTTGGTGTATAAGAATTAGAGGTTTGTCTCAACTTTAAAACCAGGCAAATATTATATCATTTCATTTGTAATCCTTTTATTCTGTTTTGTTTTATATTTAGCTTAGTGCTGCTTTAATTTCTTCAGGAGATTGCTCTCAAACAATTGTGTTGCACTCTTTCATAACAATTTTATCTTGTATGCTGCCACTATCACAGTCTTAAAAGTTTATTTATGTAATTCACAGACATCCAAACACTGTATCTAGCAGTATTTTTCAGAGGATTATGCACAGAAAATGGTCATGTTGTATTAGAGTCTTTGCAAAGTCTCATGTTACAGGGTTCTCTTAATTTTGTTTTAAGCAAAATTACCTGGTGTATTTCTTAGGCAAAGCTCATTAGGCTGACATATTCCCCATCAGTCCTGCTTTCGGCCTGTTACATATGTTCCTACTAGACCCTGAAGTGCTCTGTTTTTGCTCATGACTGTATCTTTACACAGTTCTTGGCATATAATTCATGGTTAAATATTTCATGAATGAATGGTATCAGGAATGTACAGATGAATCATTGTACAATGTACTTAATTTAATTTTTCCAAGTAGTTGACAAGTTAGTCAGCACTTAAATGTTCATTTGCCTGTTCCCCTCTGGTCAAAAAGCTGCATTATTGTCTACAGAATTTGTGTCTATAATTTTGGATTGCTTTGGGCCTTCCTACTGTGTTCCATTTTTTTCTCTTTTCTTCAGTGTAACATTTTTAGATTACATATGAGCATTGATGGAATAAATCCGATACATCTAATTTTCTCTTTTAAAATTCCTTTACTTTTAGCTTACTCAAGAAAATGTTTGAATCCCTTCTTCAATTCCCTAATAATGATTTTCTTTGCATTTTTATTGTAATTAGATTAAACTAGTAAGTTAATTTGTGAAGAACTAACACTTTATCATATTGAATCTTTTAATCTAAAGTTTATGGATTTTATCTATTTAAGTCTTTTTTTTTTCTTGTTCCTTTCTTAAATTTTATGGCACCCTCTATTAGTTTCCTAAGTGTCCTGTGCTAAGTAACAGAAAATCTGACTACAGTATGGTAGTCAAAAGCTGCTAAAAGATTATGTTAGCCTCAATATAGATTAGTAAATTTTTCCTATTTTGCTAATTTCATAAATGACTTTTGTTTAAAAAAATGATTTATATAAGAGAAATTTCTATTCTCAAAAGTTTTTTATTACTCAAATATAAACCATCTGTGTATTTGTGGAGGAAGTTTTTAGATACTTTTTATGATAGCTATTACTCTGTTAAAGTTTTTAAATTTTGGGGTGCCAATTGTGATATTTTGCTTGGTTTTAAGAAATTTATATATTTAGATTTTTACATTTATGAACTTGTTTATATAAAATAATTTTAAAATATTATAACATTTGCATTCTAGTTACCCTTTTATAGGCTTTCTTTTCTTATTTGGGTAATTTTGCTTCTTTCTTAGTTGTTTTCCAGAATTTTATCTATCATGATTTGACATAACTAGTGATTTCTTTTTAAATTAAAAAATAATTAATTTATTGTTTCCTTTCAATATCTTCATTTTTCTATCTTTCTTTTTGATGTTGTTGTTGTTTTGATCAGTTGTAGCAAGTTCGTCCTTCCTTCCTTCCTTCCTTCCTTCCTTCCTTCCTTCCTTCCTTCCTTCCTTCTTTCTTTCTTTCTTTCTTTCTTTCTTTCTTTCTCATTATTTTTTTGGTACTGGAGATTGAACCTAGGGGCACTACCACTGAGCCACATCCTCAGCCCATTTTTTATATTTTATTTAGACACAGGGTCTCAATGACTTGCTCAGAGCCTAGCTAAGTTGCTAAGGTTTTCTCTGAACTCTCAATCTTCCTGCCTCAGTCTCCCAAGCCACTGAGATGCACCACTGGCATAGCATTAATTTTTAATAGGTTGTACATTCTGACAAGTATATTTTTTTCTGAATATTGCTTTCTCTACATGTCAGTTTTTTGCATGTAGAATACCATTGTCATTTATGTCATGTCTTATTTCCTCTTTAACACAAGAATTATTCTGTGGGGTTCTTTTCCCCCAGACATGTAGAACTTTATTTGTTATGCTTTCTTATTGGCTCTTAACTTTCTTGCACACTATTCAGAAAATATATTTTATTTGTAATAGCTATCGTTTAGAATTTTTGAGATTTTTTATAACTTGATTCATAAACAATTTTAATATTCCTTGTGTACGCAAATGGCACACATTTGTGTCTGGGTGCAAAGTTTGTATGGTTTTCATATATAAAAATAAGATTAATAGTGCAAACACATACACACATATCTTTTATAATATGGGTTAGACTTTGCTTGATCTACCGATTCAGAAAAGCATATATTAAAATCGGCAGCTACCATTGTTTATTTCTTTCTATAATTTTATTGGTTGTACTTTTATATGTTTTGATTCTTTGTTGTTAGCTGCATATATGTTCAGGATTATTACAATTTCTTGATTTATTTTAATATCTCTCCGTCCCCTATGAAGCATTTTGCACCAACTTCTGTTTCATTTGGTAGGAGAACTCAACACTGGCTTTCTTTTGCATTATATTTGCATCTGTATTTTCCATCTCTTTATTTTCATTCCTTCCATATCTTCTGGTTCAAATATGTTTCCTTTAGGCAACATGTTCCTCAATCCTACTTTTATTCTACTCTGGGAGTCTTTGTCAGTTAATTGGAGTGTAATTTATTTACATTTACTTTTATCATCTTAGTGTTAAGCTTATGCCTGTCTATTTCATATTTTCCATTTTCCAAGTTTTCTTCTGATTTTTAACTATTTCCCTTTGTATTAAATATGTCAAATTTTCATCTGTTACTTCAAAGTTAATATTTTTATTTTATTACCCTGACTTATATTTACTTAGTCTTAAGTTATCTAGCAATATATAAAGCTGATCAAGTAACCATAGCATACCCTGCCTCTTCTCCTCTATTTTTTTTTTTTTGTATTTCAGGAATTTTTGTTAAGTATACTTATAGATGTGCCTTTTACAAAATGATTATTTCCAATTCACCTATGCTCCTTTTTATCCTACTATAATGGGATTGCAGTGATGTTCTG